TAATTTCCTGTGCTCTAGCTGAATTCCCTTATTGTCTTCTCCTTGAAAAGAGAGCAGTGGCTTGAGGGAAGCACCGGCATTTAGCACTGATAACGTCAAAGAAAACACACGGCAGGCACTCCTGGAGAGAGAAAAGAACGGCAGAGCAAAAAGACACAGAGGAGAGGCTGGAAATCCACCCAGGAGCTCCCACCTCCTCCCAAACCTGGAGAGCTTTCCAGCACATCCAGAGAATTTATTCCCCTTCTGCAGAGGCACTGCAGCAGTTGCAGCTTCTTCCAGGAGGTGGCAGGAAGATTTTTGAAGAGAAGGAGGAGAGGGAAAGTTGGAGAGAAAGATTTAGAGGAGGGAAGGACACACCTGGCAGGCAGCGATCTGAAACCCTTCCTCCCGAGCTGGGGGAGTGCTCAGGTTGGCAGGGACGCTTTCCAAGATCCCAGGTTGCTCCAAGCCCCATCCAACCTGGCCTTGGTCATTTCCAGGGATCCAGGGGCGGCCACAGCTTCTCTGGGCACCCTGTGCCAGGGCCTCAGCACCCTCACAGGGAGGAATTCCTTCCCAATATCCCATCTAACCCTGCCCTCTGGAAGCCATTCCCTTTGTCCTGGTATTCCATCCCTTGCGAATATTCTCCCTCCCTGTTTCTTGTTGGCTCCTTCACTTCCTGGAAGGCCACCTTTAGGTCACCCCAGAGCTTCTCTTCTCCAGGCTGAACAATCCCAGCTCTCCCAGCCTTTCCTCCCAGCAGAGCTGCTCCATCCCTCTGCTCATCCTGGTGCCTCCTCTGGACCCTCTCCAGCAGCTCCGTGGAAGTGCAGAATTTAAGTGAAAAGGATCCTGGCCTGAGGCTCCTGTCCAATTCCCAGGAGAGGAATAACTGGAAAATATCCAAGCAGATTTGGGTGCCCAAAACTTATTTTGCTCCTTCTGGCTCCGTAAAGGGGACTGCACACCTTGTATCCCTGCAATATCCCAAGGTGGGAATCCTGTCCTGCAAGGACATGTGCTCGTGGTTTGAATTAAGAGGGACAAAAACCTGCTGTTAATGTTGTTGCTGCTACTCCTGTAGTAGCACCAGGAGTTGCAAAAGCATGACTCAAGGTCTCATTTCCTCTGTCACAACTTCCAAGCACAGAGAGCTGCTGGAGCACTGGGATTTGCAGGGTATCCTCGGAGCTCACCCTCTCCACACACCCTGGCATTACAGCCCCAGGGAGATTTATCCTGGGATAAGAGCCCTCTGTTCAGAAATTGATTTTTGGCAGACTTTAGTGAGACATTATTGAAACCATTTGTAAAATTGCTGTGCTCTATTCCTCTCGTATCAGGCAGCAATTGGGGCAGCAGTGTGGAAATGAAACATTTCAATCTCTGTTAATATGGATTGTTTCAGTCTTATTAAAACACTTCAGGAAGGTCAAAGCAAAATATTGTTGGGATATTTTTCTTGCTGAAGAGAAATGGGGATTTGCCTTTGAAGTCCTGCTTCGGGTGACCTCGGGTTGGAAATCTGTACTGCAGGGATAGAATAATTCCAAGTTTGGAGACACTTTAACCACACCTCCTACCCAAGGGCAAGGGATGTAAACTGGCTCTGGAAATCAGCCAGGAGGGGCTGCTCCTGAACTTTGGCAAGCTGGGATTGCAGTCCACAGCCACAACTTCCAGATGGGACACGGGTGGCTGGGGAGGCACCAGGAGGTCAAGCGTCCCTTTCTCAAAGCTGGAAGCTTTTGGAGGATGGAGGGAAACAAAACAACTGACTTTGATCCACACAAAGACAAGTGGGATCAATTCCCCAGCCAGAGCCACCTTGTAGATATTCCAAAAAGCCTCCACAGAAAAAAAAATAAAATATCATGGAATTACAGAATCATTTTGGTTGGAAAAGCCCTCCAAAACCATCAGGTCCAACCTGTGCCCCATCCCACCTCATCACCCAACCCAGAGCGCTGAGTGCCACATCCAGGCTTTTCTTGGACACCTCCAGGGATGGGGACTCCAAACCTCCCTGGGCAGCCCCTTCCAATGCCTGGCCACCCTTTCCAGAAAGAAATTCTTGATCCAACCCAAACCATCCTGCAGGGTTTAACTGAGTGAGTGGTTTAACCTGAAGTTATTTGAACTAAAATCCCCTGGATATGCAGCACCTTAGGAATCTCAGTAAACCAAGAGGAATCCTGTTTATTCCTTTCCACGTACTAGGGGTTCTCCAAGACCCTTGAAGATCCTTTAGGTGAGTTTTTCCCAGGTCTGCTGAGCACTGCACAGACTATTCAGAGTGAGGGTAGGTTTTTGGTGTGGTTGACTGAGACATCCCAATTTAGGACAAAAGTCCAGGGCCAATCACTGGCCTCTCATTTTTTTTAATATACTTGTAATAAACTCCTCACTTTTACTGAAAATTCAAGAGTTTTTCCTCACTTTATCTCTCTTCCTTCGTTAATCCCCTTGTTGGCTTCCACTCTCAAGAGAGAAAACATCTCTTTTAATTATTTAGCCTATTATTGGCATTAGTTGGCTCTGTTTTCTTTTTCAGAAGCCACCAGAAGCTCCTTCAAAAGAGCAGCATAATTCTGTAGTCAGGCTTTGAATTTCCTGATCATTAACAAACAGGGTTTTATGAAATTCTGGCGCTTTTTTTGTCTCTATCACTGAGTAGACAGCGAGAAACAAACAAAAAAAACCAAACCAAAACCCTTCTGCTCTCATCTCCTTTGAAAGCATTTAATACCTTTTCTTCACAGTTTCTCTGTGGATCAAGCCAAGAAAATATTCCTGCAAGGTCAGGTCTGCTGGGGAGGCCAAATGAAATGTTGGACCTCGGTGGAATTATGGGATCATCTGGACAGGCAATATTGGCCTTGGGAAAGAGCTTTGCTCCATGAATTCATAGCTCTGGCCACAGCCAGCGTGGTTTTAAAGGAATAAAACAACGGCTTTGAAGGGCCTTATCTACAGCTAACACACAGTGGTTTAAGCCTCAGAGACCCTGGGCTACTGCATCTGGTGTCTTTTCTTCCTCCTCCCCAGTTTCTGCTGGACTCAGCCTTGTTGGATTGGCTTCTCTTTCCCGGGAAGTGGGAAAAATGGCAATTTTTGCCTCTGAGGCAAACCTTGCTGCCTGAGAAAAACGTGGATATCCCTCTGAAGGATCTCACAGGGACCACAGGCAGGACTGGCAGCCACACATCCATGTCCTCTCTCCTGGCCTTGTGCTCCCCACAGAGCTCACATTTATCACCCAAACTTGGATAGAAAAATCCATCTTTTCCCTTGGAATCTTGTTTTAGTCTCCCAGGATAAAAGCACCCTGAGCTCTGCAGTAAATAAGGAAAAAGCTGACGTGGAAACTGAGTCATGAAAGGCTTGTGTGGGTCTGATACCCACACCTTGCTCTGTGATTGCTGAGGAGGGAACAGCTGCAAAGGGTTCCACAGGGATTGAGTGAAGAAACAAAGGAAAACTCTAAATCTGCCCAGAAACTCCTGAGCTTCCCCGTGCTAAGGATCCATTCAGTGTGGGAGTGACGAGGCAGCTCTGCATTTCAGGCACTTCTTCAGGGCTTTTTTCCATCAGAAAAGTGGTTTTGAAAGGAATATCCTGGTTTATTAATTCTGGGAAGAGCCGTGCAGGGGTGAGCTAAGCCTGGAAGCCTTGTCTGGCCAGCATTCCATGGAATATCTGCTCAAGGCCTGGTTGTGAGGGAATGAATCAGGCAGCCGGGCTCTGGCCATGGTCCTTTTCCCCACATGATAATTCCATTAAATTAACATTGGCTGCACGTTCTCATGGCAACTCTGAACCCAAACAATAACAACACAGAGGATGTGGGAATGGGGGGAAAACCTGTCCTGGAAATTCCTCTTTTGTGGAGAATGTGCGTGGGGAAGTGAAAGGAGAGCAGCGGGAGGGCGTCAGCTCCCGCTTCCCACGGGGCAGGATTATGGCTCTCCTCAGTCCCTGGTGCACTTGGTGAGGTTGGGGGTATTTCCAGCCTTGAGGATTCTGTGTTTCCTTAGGGATTCTGTGATCCACAGGCTGCTGGCATAGCACTGACTCCCTCTGCCCCTCTTGGCTGTGCTCTGTCGTTTCCCCTGGTTCTCCCTTTGGAGCCTTGCGCTTCCCGTTTTCCTAAGCACGTCTCCCTTGACCCACATCCCCCAGTTTTACATGGAAGCTGTTATTTAACTCATGGATAACCCTGTTAGCCTGGGAGGAGACTGCTGAGGAGCTCCTGACAAGGGCTCTGTGAGAACTGGGGGTGCCTGTGCTGGGGGAGCTGGGCTTGGGGTCCCTGGGCCGGGTGGTTTTGGGGAGGTCGGCTTGGGGTCCTTGGTCTGGGGGTCTGGGGGGTTCCCTGGATTTGGGGTTTGAGGGGTGATGGTGTGGATGGTTTGGGAGGGCCCTGGGCTGGGGTTTGGGGGAGTTTCTCTAGTCTGAACTCTTGGGGGTTTCCCTGGTTTGGGGGTTTAGGGGGAGGTGGTGTGAAGGGTCCCTGGGCTGGGGTTTGGGGCGAGATCATGTTGGGGCTCCTGGTGTGGAGGTTTAGGGCAGTCCCTGAATTGGGGTTTAGGGGGAGGTGGTGTGGGGGTCCTGGCTATGTGAGTTTGGGGAGATACCCTGCTCTGGGGGTTTATGGGGAGGTGGTGTTGTAGTCCCTGATCTGGAGGTTTAGGGGGAGTGCCCAAATTGGGTTTCAAGGGGACATGGTGTGGAGGTCCCTGCCCTGGGGGGTTGTGGGGAGGTGATGTGGAAGGTCCCTGGGGGTTTTTGGGGATGCTCCATGTGTCCTGAGCAGATCTTCACTCATTGAGGTGAGCGAAGCAGGTCCCACCTCTGCACGTCCCTCTGCAGCTCCAGGGATAAAACCAGCCCCAGACTGGTGCTGCTGGTGGGCAGTGGCCTTGCTGAAGGCTGGGGCTCAGAGTTCAGGGTCACTTGTCCTGTTTTGTGTCCAATGAAGCTTTGGGTTGTGCTTTTATAGGAAAACTTGGATTTTGTGCTTTGCTGCCCCACTTGTGCCACTGATGCTGGGTCTGCCTGTTCCAGGTCATGGCAAACACTTGGACATCTCTTCCTGCAGCGGCTGGAGAACTGTCCTGGCCCCTAGGGACCAGAGGGGACCATGCAGGTACAGCTGCTCCTCCTGCATGGTGTTTGTGCCACTGGTGCCACCAGCCAGGCAGCCCCTGCAGCCCCCAGAATTGCTGTTCCTCCTCAGAAAGAGCAGTTCCCCACAGGGAGCAGGGAAAGGTCTTCCCAGTGGTTCCTCTGAGGATCTGGGATAGGGAGGGGGGGGTCATTCCTTGCAAAGCACTCCGTGGAGATGGGGAAAACAAAGCCGCCCCTGTGAAGCAGCTCGGATTTATTTGGGAAGAGTTTTCCCTCTGATTAATTGTGGGGGTGTGTGTATGTGCTGGGAAAGGCACTAATGTTTACTGGAATTGGGCTATAAATGGTTGCTAACTTCTCGTTCCCTGCGTGATAAATATCATAATTGATGCTACAATATGTTAACATTCCGAACATGAGCTCCTCTTTTCCTATGGATTTATTCTCATGCACGGGTAGTGTGGAGGGTTTGAAGACACCTTCCTTCAAAGATTAGGGGATCTTTACATCTTTCCTCTGTATTAGGAGGAGGATAAGACATCCTTTTTTAAAAGAAGAGATGAATATCAGCCGGCTTTGGTATGCAGAAATAACTTACTGAAATTGTTAAATGCAATTCTTGTCAAATTTACAGAGCTGGGCTGAACAACCTGTAATTTTATTAAATCCTGGGAAAGTGGTCAACAAACCTGGGAGCTTCCACTTATCCTGGCAAACTTCTGTTAAATGGTGAAACCTGTCCTAACACGGCAGAACATGGAGAAGAATCCTTCCTCTTAAGCTGTAACTTATTAAAAAATATGTTTTTAGCCATGTGTGAGCTTAGAGAACAAAATCAGTTCAGGAAGAGGGGATTGCAGCACTGTTAAAACTCCCTGTGTCAAACAACTAATTTTAGACCTGGGCTTTAAATGTGCCTTTGCAGTATATTTTTATGCTTCAACTCTCTGCTTTCAGACCTTCAAATTTTATTTGGGTGATGGATTTCTGTCAAAATTGGTCGACATTTAGCACTAAAGTCAGGCTGAAATATGAATCCAGCACTTTAGGACTCCTTTTATTTTGTGTGTAGAGCCTGGGGTTCTCATCCCCCTTATTAACTCTTGCAGGAGCGTTCAGGTTCATACTTTTGGAAGAATGATTCTGTTGAAGTTTCATTCCCTCTCCAAGTAGAGATTGATTGATGTAGTGAACCCAGGGGGGATTTTACAGATGGTGAAACTTCCTGTTAATTAGCAAATAGCCTTTGGTAGCACATCCATTGCTTTTTGCCTCTTGTTTTGGGGTCATGGGGGTTATTTCCTTATGTCATCACAGAGTCCGAGGGACAGTTTACAGCCTTTTCTCTCCTGTTTCAGTTTTCCTGGTATTTTGTTTTCAGCATGTGGAGATCAGAGGTTTATGGCTGTGTGTGTCTGCTCTGCAAGCTCTCAGGGTGGGGATGGGGTTTGGTGGGGCTTTTCAGGGCAGAACTGTTTCTTTATGTCCAGGCTCAATTTCCTTCAGAGGGGACAGCTGATTTTAGGAGCAAAATGGGATTAGGCCAGGTTTTGTAAAGAAAATAACTGTATTCTTGGCACCATGCCTTCCCAGGATGCGAACATCCAGAGTCCTTTGAGATTAAGTTCTGTCTTTTTATAGAGGAGGAGATGCTTGACGTTACCTCGGGCTTTGGGAGAGCTGCCAGGTACCCAATCTGTGCTCCAGTATTAATTGCACATCTCAGATTCCAATCACCCCATTTGCACAAACCTCGGTGTTATCCTGATGTTCCCTGATGGAAAAAAAAACACAAACCCTTGCACACTGCTGCTGGAGCTGTTGGATTTGCACATGGAGGCTTTCACTGGATCACGGAATCATGGAATGGTTTGCACTGGAAGAGACCTTAAAGCTCATCTCATTCCATGGAAAGGGAACCTTCCACTATTCCCAGGTGGCTCCAAGCCCCATCCAAGCTGGCCCTGGACACTTCCAGGGATCCAGGGGCTGCTCTGGGAAAGCTCTTTGGGGTTTATTTTTGGGTGGCATCAAGAATAAAGCCAATACCCAGACGCGTGATCTCTCCCTCCATTGTTCTCTCCAAAGATTTTTGTCCCCTCTTTCTAAAGCCGGAATTTGCCGGACTTTCTGCCAGCTCGGGGGGTCACTTGGCCCCGTTTTCACAGGAGTGGGAGCAGCATCATCCTGCCCCCTTGGGAAGCCGGACGAGCCTGCTCGGCAGGGCTGGGTGGCCGGGCGGTGTGAGGAGGCCATGGGCAGGAGCCGTGCCCCGGAGGCCGTGGGCAGGAGCTGTGTCCCGGAGGCCGGGCGGTGTGAGGAGGCCGTGGGCTGGAGCCGTGTCCCGGAGGCCGGGCGGTGTGAGGAGGCCGTGGGCTGGAGCCGTGTCCCGGAGGCCGGGCGGTGTGAGGCGGCCGTGGGCAGGAGCTGTGCCCCGGAGGCCGGGCGGTGTGAGGAGGCCGTGCGCTGGAGCCGTGTCCCGGAGCTGCGGGCTGCAGGTGGCAGCAGCGCCCTTCCCTTCCCTGCGGCAGCCGGGGATGCTGCGGCACAGCCCGGCCACAGCGCCAGGAGCACATCGGCACCTCGCAGCCACACTCTGCGCCTCTCCCGCCTCCTCCCCGACAGGAATCCGGATCCTTGGAGAGAGGGGAGGGGAAGAAAAGCCTTTCTGCATCGCGCAGTGCCAGACAGAGCCCGGTAATCACATTTGTGTGCGGTGATTGCTTGGGTTGGGCTCTCCCAGCGCTGAATTGAGCAGATTCCGGCTTTTTTGTGCTTTTGGGGGTGTATTTTTTCTTTCCTCCTCCCGTTCCCTCAGTGCTTCGCTGTGATAGCAGGAGCTGTTCTTCCACGATAGCGGGAACCAAAGGCAGCAGTGGTTCCTGGGCGTTATTATTATTCCAGGCAGGGATGCAGCCCTCGGAGCCGTGGGGGTTTGAGTGCTCATTCCATCAACTTTGTGGCTGACAGACGCATCTCTTCCCTCATCCGGCTCTGGCTGCTGCTCCTGTCCGTGCCCTGGGTGGGGTGACCCCAGTATTTACCTGCAAGTGTCACTTTGATCATTTTCGGGCGCTCCTCGTGTGCTGCTCTCGGCAGCCCTGGAACTGCTCAGTGCAGTCACTCCCGGAGTCACCTCCAGTCCAGCCCTGGGCTGATCCCCAGCGTGGGCAGCAGGAAAGGGATTGGGATTCTGCCCCTGTGCCCCTGTGCTCAGGTGAGACCCCACCTGCAGAGCTGCCCCAGCCCTGGGGCCCAGCACAGGGAGGACGTGGAGCTGCTGGAGAGAGTCCAGAGGGGGCACCAGGATGAGCAGAGGGATGGAGCAGCTCTGCTGGGAGGAAAGGCTGGGAGAGTTGGGATTGTTCAGCCTGGAGAGAAGCTTTGGGGTGAGCTCAGTGTGGCCTTGCAGTGCCTGAAGGGGCCAACAGGAAACATGGAGAGAGAATGTGGACAAGGCCTGGAGTGCCAGCACAAGGGGAATGTTCCTAATACCAGAGGGCAGGGATGGGTGGGATATTGGGAATGAACTGTTCTTTGTGAGGGAGTTGAGGCTCTGGCACAGGGTACCCAGAGAAGCTGTGGCTGCCCCTGGATCCCTGGAACTGTCCCAGGCCAGGCTGGACAGGGCTTGGAGCAGCCTGGGACAGTGGAAGGTGTCCCTGCCCATGGCAGGGGTGGAATTGGATGATCTTTAAGGTCCCTTCCAACCCAGGCCATTCCTTGATTCTTGGGAGAGCTGCACTGCACGTGAGGAGCTCCAGTGTGCAGGTGGATTTTGGAAGGTGGTTGGAGCTAAATGCTGCAGGAATTCTCTGGAAGTAGCAACTCTGCTCTTTGTGTCTCTGTTCTGACCCGAGGCAGCTTCCTTAGAGTGATGTGTTGCTTGAACTTTTGGGCTTGTCTCAGGATGCCATCCTGAGCTCCAGCAGGTGACATCCAGTGCAGGCAATGATGTCATCTGCCTCATCCCAGTGGCAGAAGGTTGCCACCATGAAATTAGAAGGAAAAATGGATTGGAAGAGATGCTGTCTCCTGCAAGAGATCCTGTGAGACCCAGCTGAAATGGCCAGACTGGTACAGGGTAGTGAGAAATCAGCTGGGAGGACACTAGGCTTACACCTATGGGGATCTCTGTCACCTTGGAAAATCCTAAAATCATTTAGGTTGGAAAACACCTTCAAGATCATTTCCCCAGCACTGCCAAAACCACCACTAACCCATGTCCCCAAATGCCACATCCAAATGTCTGTGAAATCCTTCCAGGGATGGGGACTCCACCGCTGCCCTGGGCAGCAGTGCCAGGGCTGCACAGCCCTTCAGTGAAGAGGTTGTCCCTAATATCCAACCTAAACGTTCCCTGGTGCATCTTGGGGCCATTTCCTCTGTCCTGTCGTTTGCTCCCTTGTTGCCAGACAAGCCAGAAGTGGTGCAAAGTGCTCAGGTCAATGGTAGGGTTAAATGACATTAATTACTGCTAATTGCCTCCCAGATGGGATGTATCCAAGGCATGACCCTGCTGCTGGCTCCAGTGACACCAGAGACAGAAGTGTCCCCTCAGCACAGGCTGGGATGCCAGCAGTGGTTGTGGGAGGAATTCACATCACGGTCAGTGAAATGTGCAAACCAGGTGCTCAGGAATTAGGGATTCATGGACTCCCTTGCCAAGATCCTGTTGGGAATGAAGGGCAGTGCTGCCCCAGAAGTCCTGTTGTGCCACAGAGTCAGTGGAGCCCTGAGCAGTGGCAGAGAGAATCCTGTGAATCCCTCATTCCTGCTTTTCCTTCTCCATGCTCTGCTCCACCAGCCCAGGGAGGGTCCCTGCGAAGCCACAGCACCTGCATTTGAGGTGTTGAAGGAAACCTGGAATCATGGAATAGTTTGGGTGGGAAGGGATCTTAAAACCATCCAGTCCCATTCCCTGCCATGGGCAAGGACACTTTCCACTGTCCCAGGCTGCTCCAAGCCCTGTCCAGCCTGGCCTTGGACACTTCCAGGGATCCAGGGGCAGCCACAGCTGCTCTGGGCACCCTGTGCCAGGGCCTCAGCACCGTCTGGGTAAAGAATTCCTTCCTAATTTCCAATCCAAACGTGTTCCCTCCCAGTCCAGAGCTGGGCCCTCCTTTTCCCACAAGAACTGCGCTCGCAGGCATTTTAATGCATTTGATTTGTTTTTGCACAGAATGAAGATTTGCTAACACTGATGCTAATCGTGACTCTGGAGTGATTTGACCAGATTGTTTCAGAACAAAAACCCCTGGGGAGAAAGACAAGTACTTTCTGCTGACATTTCTGCAAACTCTTTTTGCTTCTTTTCTGTTCAGCTGACTTTTCATTTCAGACCTTTCCTTAACTTGATTTTTGAGACGTTCAGATGCGCTCCAAAAAGACTTTTTCAATTTTGTGGAAGAAGATATTGTAGTCAAGGCAGAATAGCTTTGCCTTTGCTCTCTTCTTTTCCCTCCCATCTTTCACAATGTGCAAATCAATCAAGGAAAAAAAAATGTATTGTTTGGCTGCTGGACTCCTCGTCCAGCAGCTCCTGGGTAGGGCAGAGTGATTGGCTTTGTGACCTCTTGGCTCAAAATGCCTGGGTGACAGCACTCCTTTTTTAAATTTTTTTTTTCCTCCTCCTGCTGAGGGGAATGACAAGATCCTGAACCTGTCCCTGGTTTGGTTGTGACTGGGTTTGGAAATCCGTGGCTGTGTCTGTGCACTGGGAGCTGTTTGACGTCCCTGATTCCAGCAGGAGGGGGCTGCTGGTCAGAGTGCAGCTGGAATGGATGGAGTGGTCTGGGATGCACTGGAGGGTGCTGGCCTGTGTCTGAGCAGTCTGATAGCACAACTCATTAATTACTCATTGTTATCCTGAGTTGCTGCTCCTGCCACCCTTTGCCGCAGCTCCAAATGCTCCCGATGGAAAATGCAGAATCAGGGAATGGTTTGGGTGGGAAGGAATCTTAAAACCATCCAGTCCCACCCCCTGCCACGGGCAGGGACACCTTGCACTAGCCCAGGTTGCTCCAAGCCCAACCCGGTCTTGGACACTTCCAGGGATGGGGCAGCCACAGCTTCTCTGGGCACCCTGTGCCAGGGCCTCACCTCCCTCACAGCCAGGAATTTCTTCTCAATATCTAAGCTGAATTTCCCCTCTTTCAGCTTGATCCCCCTTCTCCTGGCACTCCAGTTCCTGATGAAATGTCCCTGTCCAGCTTCCCTGTAGCTCCTGCAGACTCTGGAAGGGGCTCTGAGGTGTCCACACACCCTTCCCTTCTCCAGGCTGAGCAGCCCCAGCTCTCCCAGCCTGGCTCCAGAGGGGAGGTGCTCCAGGTCCCTATGACAGCCATATATAGAGACTTCCAGAGGGCCCTGCCTCTCCAAGGTATGAAATCTCCTTTGCTTTGTATTATTTTTGTTTGTATTTGTGTTTTGTTTCTGCATTTGAGAGTGCTGAGTTCAACCCCAAATGTTGGCCCTGAGGCTTTTCCAGCAAAACCTTTTTCCTGTGTGAGTCTTTCAGCAGCTCCTAAGGATGGTCCATTTCTGGAACTCTTCATCTGTGTGAGGCTGTACCACAGCTGCTGTTCCCAGCGTGAGGGGCTTGGTCCCAGGACCCCAGGAATGGCTGGAGCTGTGCCAGGGGAGGATCAGGTTGGATATCAGGGAAAGGTTTTCTCCCCCAGAAGGTGCTGGGGCACTGCCCAGGCTCCCCAGGGAATGGGCACAGCCCCGAGGCTGCCACAGCTCCAGGAGAGTTTGGACAGCGCTCTCAGGGATGCCCAGGGTGGGATTGTGCAGGGCCAGGAGGGACATTCCACAATCCCTGTGTGTCCTTCCTGCTGAGGATATTCCATGGTCCTTTGCTGTCGCTGTTGTCGAGCTCAGCTGATTGGCAGCTCCACAGAGCAGAATGGCCATCAGGTAACTCTCCAAAACTGATAAATACATAAATAATGGATGCAGTCTTCCTGCTCTGACAAATTATCCAAACCCATACTGCAGCCCCGAAACAGATAAGAATTAATTGAATGAGACACGGGACTACTTTTCCTCCTCTAATCCTCTGCAAAAAGGACCCATTCAAAGATTTCGCTTGGTCTTTTTTAGTTTGCAGTTGTAATTTTTGGATTTTTCTTTAATCATGATTCCTTTGTGTTCTGCAGAATGAGGATCACAGGATGGAGACTGGCAAAGTCCGGAGCCTCTGTAGCGGGACGGGAAGGCAGAGTCTTACAGGAGGAATGCCAAAGGGTGTGCGAGCATATAGACAAATGGCTGGTGGATTAATTTCTTGGAAATAAACCTGGCAAATTAGAATTGTTAAAGCAACTGCTGAAATGGCTGCTGCCATTGAATTGTCAAAATAGGGGAGTGCAGAGCTCCTTGGCTAATTTACACAGCACCAAAGCAAAAATAATGGGGTAATAATGAGCAGTTATTGGTCCTGGCTCTCCCCACTCATTATCTGAAGTGAAGACGTTTATCAGGACGGAATTAAGCTGGCACGATGTGCGTGTGACACAATTACAGTGGGCACTCAGAAGCAGGGGGGATTTGAGGAATGGCAAACAGACAGAAATAATCATTGCTGCAGGAAAGCGGGTGAGGAGGGTCAGGGCTCCTGGAGTGATGCTTAGGTCACTTAGAAGGGCGAGTGAGGTGGTTTGGGGAGGGGAACGATGGGATCTGGCTCACCTGCAGGAGCAGTAATGCCGTGAGTGGTGCCGAACATTTGGGTGTGCCTGGGTTTGAATGTTTTAGTGCTGCTGATGTTGGGCAGTCTCTCGGCTCCATAAGTCCTTCCCAAGCTGCTCCAGGGAGAAGGGAGACCTTCTCCAAGTGTGCCAAGTTCATTTGACCCAGACTGTGAGATCCCAGGACCACTGAGTTTGGAAAAGTCTTCCAGGACCGAGTCCAACCTGTGCCCCATCCCCACCTTGTCACCAGCCCTGAGTGCCACATCCAGGCCTTCCTTGGACATCTCCAGGGGTGGGGACTCCACCAGCCCCTTCCAATGCCTGACAACCCCTTCCATGGGGAATGTGTTGGACTGGAGGCCATCTCTTAACACAGAAGCCATGGGGAGACCTTACCTTGGGGTGAGAATCTGGAGACTGCTCTTCATCCCTCCCATCCCTGTGTTTGAGCCCAGAGAAAAACAACAGGCACTGGAATAAGCTGGAGCCTTGTGTGTCCCTGAACCCAAGGTGTGGGGGCTCTTCAGGCAGCTGAGGCTTCTGCTGGGCCTTGGCTTCCTCCAGGAATGGCTGATCCGGCCTTTGAAGGCAGCTCCCGGTGCCTGGCTGGTGCTGACTGGGAGGCAGCGGGCTGGGTTTGCCTTGCACAGCTCCCAGCCCTGCAGTGAGCTCTGGCTGATGCTATCAGAGCAGCTCCCCATAAATAAACATGTGATTGTGCGTGCTGCACTTGCACTACGCCAGGAGGAAATTCTGACACCCCTGGCCTTTTATCTCTCGCATCCCTCGGCAGCTGTGAAAAAGCCTCTGACCTCGGCTGCTCACTCTGCTCATTTAGTTTCAGCAGGAGCTGGTGCCTGTGCAGCTTTGTTACTCTGTGCTGCGGAGGAGGAGGAGAGCAGCGGGCGTTTTGTTGAAGTTCTTAATTGCAGGCACAGCAGGATTATGGAAATGTCAAGAGGGAAGTGACAGGGAAGACCTGACAAACACGTGGGGGCTGGTTGATTCACTGCTCTCTTTTCCACTGGGGTGGTGGGTGGATTCTGAGACAGAGGCTGGACTGGGGCTGCTGTATTTAGCCCTTGCTCGAGTCCAGGCCCAGGATTAGCAAAACCCAACACAAGAGGCCTGTGCCAGAGGAGCTGGAAGGAGTGACAGCAGGGAACAGCAGGATTTGGCCCCCTCTGTATGAACCCGTACCAGGGAGCCCATGGGAGATGCTGGTGTAGCACCTGCCCGTGCCAAATTCCGTGTGAAATTTGGGGTGGGTGTTGTGGCAGGAGGACCCCAGGGGGAGGCTGACTCCAAACAGCATTTCAGGAGTTAACCAAAAACCTCTGCCTCATTGTGATTTAGCAGACACTGCTATTCCATTTCCTTCAGCCTGACACAAGGGTTCATTCCTCATCTCAGGAAAACTGAGATGCTGTCTTTGGGATGCAATTCCTTGGGAAAGAACGCTCCAGACCTTTAGATTTCCCTCTGAAGAGGGACAGATGGATCCTGCTGCTGCCATGGCCATGCTGCTGGGGCCAAACAAGCAGCACACACTGGATTTAACCTTGGAGCTGCTGCAGGGCTGAGATTTTACACAGACCCCCAGGGCACTGCTGGAAAGAGGGGGCTGCTCCTGTCAAAGCTCCCCAGAGGGTTTGTTCCACAGCAGATCCCATGGCTTCCCGAGCAATCCTCTCCAAAGATTATCCAGCTTTATGCTGTGCTTGATGTCCCTGGTGCTTTCTCCCTGTCAGCTGGAACAGGAAGCCCAGGTAGGCACACGAATATCCCTCATCCCCTCCCAAGGTGAGGAGTTGTCTCCAGATGGTCTCTTAGGTTGGCTGGGAAAGCTGCATGGAGACAGGAGGAAATCATCCAGCTGTACCACCCAGATGTACCCCAAAGCAGCAGCTCCATCCTGGTCAGGATGGGATGATCCTGGTGCTGGCTGAGCTGTAGGAGTGAGAGCTGCAAGAGAAGGGACTCCTGGTGGGAAGGGCAGTGCTGTCCCACTGACCTGGACCTGGCCAGGAGTGGTGAATCCCACAAACCCTCGTTTCTGGGCTCACAGTGATTCCAGGGGGTGGCCCTCTCCAGTGCATGCTGGATTGTGCAGGGAGCAGGGAATGCTTTGATGTCTGGGATATTTGCACAGGCAGGTGGTTCTCTGGGAGCTGCCAGACGCTCCCTGTCAGTGGGAACAGGCTGTGGCAGGCCTGGCAGGGGGCTGGGAGATGCTGCTCAGCCGACAGACACAGATCTTCCATGTTTTGGGGACCAGGAAGGAGAAGGAGCAGCCAAGAATATTTATTGCCCAAAAACTCATGGAGAGACAGGAAGGAGAGGCCAGTGAGGGTCAAAATGGGTGTCTGGAAACAGAGGAAAACAGGGAAATGACAGAAAAGAGTAGGAGGACTGGCAGAGGAGAAAAGCTGTTCTCAAAGTACAACTAAGCTGTTGGAGAGAGTCCAGAGGGGGCACCAGGATGAGCAGAGGGATGGAGCAGCTCTGCTGGGAGGAAAGGCTGGGAGAGTTGGGATTGTTCAGCCTGGAGAGAAGCTTTGGGGTGAGCTCAGTGTGGCCTTGCAGTGCCTGAAGGGGCCAACAGGAAACATGGAGAGAGAATATTGAGGGATGGAGTGCCAGCACAAAGGGGAATGTCTTCCCACTGCTAGAGGGCAAGGATAGATGGGATGTTGGGAAGGAATTCCTCCCTTTGAGGGTGGTGAGGCCCTGGCACAGCTTCCCAGGGAAGCTGTGGCTGCCCCTGGATCCCTGGAAGTGTCCGAGGCCAGGCTGGACAGGGCTTGGAGCAGCCTGGGACAGTGGAAGGTGTCCCTGGCCATGGCAGGGGGTGGGACTGGATGAGCTTTAAAGTCCCTCCCAACCCAAACTATCCCATGATTCTGTGAGATATTGGGAGTGAGTGTGCCAAAGATTTGTGAAACTTGGACTGGTGGGACGTGGAATGTTGCTTCTTTCTAATCTTCTCCTTCACAAAGTCCAGGCTGCCTCATCTCATTGTTCTTTCCCTTAACTTTGAATGCCCAGAGCTCATGTTCCTTCTTGAGCATTTCTGTGTTTGCAGCCTAAGTAATTTGGGTAATTTTGGGTTGTACCAGCAGCTGGGCCAGGGCCAGGTTCTGTCTGAGGTTCTGAGCCCGAGGCACTGCAGGATGGTGGCTCCAGGTCACAACTGCAGGGTGTTGAACACGTCCCTGAAATTGGCAGAGCCCCTAAACATCAAGTGGTCACACTCTGCCCTTGCTCATTTACCCAGCTCCTGGTGAAGGACATTGTTCCTGCTTTTTGGGCCCTTTCCCTGCCTTGTTGCTTGTTAAAAAGATGTTTTGCTTTCCCGGGGTGTTGGAGAGGTTTGTGACATTTTGAGCTAAACTTTGCTGTTTCAGCAGCCAGCAATGAAGGTGATTCCAGGCACTTGTTCCATAAGCAGCAGAACTAATGAGCCCCAGGATTTGTATCCCACTTTCCTGACCTCTGCCTCCCCCTTCATAATAATATCTCTTCCCACAGAGCCAGTGTGCCCCTGTCCCCTTCCTCCAAGTCCTTTCACTCTTGGCACTCACAGGTTGCCTTGTGGGGCAGGAGTTTTCTCATCTCACATGGCAGCCAAGGCTCTCATTTGCCTCTGTCTCTTCCCCATTCCCACCATATTTTTTCCCAGGATTTCTCAGCATTTAATTATATTCTGTCACGTTATATTAATTCTGCCAGTCTGGGGGAGGTTTAAGTTCCTAGAGGTAGGAATCTGCTGCTCAGATGGACCAGCAGTTGTACAGACAGCGGGAAAGGAGTTTCCACGGAATAAATCCCTTTCCTGGGAAGCATGGATGGTGTCCTCTGTCCCTCTCACCTGCCTGGAAAGCCAGCTACTGCCATACTAATGTGGATTGGAGAGGAAAAGCCTGGGAATAAACAAACAAAGCAGGGAACTGGGGGTGTCAGCAGGACAGGAGGAGAGGAAACAAAGGGTCTTTGGGACATTCTGAGCAGTGTTTGCCATCCAGGGAGTCATCCTTGGTTTCCTAGACTGCCCCACTGGCACTGCATGCCTTTGGGCAGGCCGTGCCCTTCCCAAAGGATTCAGAGGATAGACAATGTGCAGGAGCTCAGACCCAGCCACTGAGGGCTCAGCCCTGTGTGAATGGGTGAATGATGGAATCCTGGAGTGCTTTGGGTTGGAAGAGACCTTAAACACCAACTTTGTTCCAACTAACACCTACTGCTTGTGCCTTTGTCCCTGTTGGATGTTCCTGCTGGGATGAGATCAGAAGTTGGAGCAGGATTCTCTCCCTTGGCTGAGCCTTTGCAATCTCTAACCCCTCACATCAATTTCTCAGCTCATCCATGCTCCACTTTTCCAGGAGCACTTCTGCAACCTTGGCATTGCCCAGTGACCTGACAGGAGTGAGGAAGTCAAATCCAATTTGTGACCTTTCAGTACTTCCAGGGAGTTCATAAAAAAGAGGGAGATTGACTTTTTACACAGACAGTGCTGGGATGGGGGGGAATGGCTTTAAACTAAAAGAGTAGGAGTTTATCATCAGAATCCTCTGGGAAGAGCATGTCCTGCCCAAGATT